TTAAATTCATTAATTTAATGAAACCCCCTTCTTTTCCCCTCTGTGGAATATTGTCTTGAGACGCTTGCTGCCATCCTGAAGCAGCCGTATCCTGGGACCCTAGAAGGAAGGCTTCCTCAGGGGTTCCCCTTGGACCTGACCTTGGGCAGGGCATCATTTCTGGGGAAATCCCACGAGGGCCACCCCATACCGAAGTCCTGCTCCTCAGGGTCCCCTTGCCTGACTCTGCTCTGGCCAAGACAAGCCCATGGCCTTCAGTCCATCTGCCTTGCCAGACCACGTTGTGAAAATAGATTCACATTCCAGAAAACTCCCAAGGCTGTCAAATGACTTGCCTGGTTTCTTTTCTCACTCTATCGGTTCAGCAGAGTCCCAAGTGCGGGAGATGTGTGCCCGTGTGGTATCAACTGCCCAGCGGGGATCATTCACGGCTCCCGCCCCCAAAAGCTTAACAGGAGAACCCAGCCACCTGCTAACTCCTCACCAAGTCCCCCGTGGAGCCAGACTTCCTGCCAAAGCCTTGCAGATTAAATCCCAATTCATTAGTGGTGGAGGTTGGTGGGAAGTGTGGGTAGCCCTAGGCCCTGTCTGTAATCTAGAGCGACTCCCTAGGCTGTCAGATCACACAGAGTGAACCAGCTTCCCATTATTGATCTGTGGCCACACACACCAGCTGCAGTCATGCAGACAGACAGAAGGCAGGAGGAGCCCCACCTGTGTGACGTGAGCTTGGACCCACTCTGAAGGTTTTCCAGGGCCGGTAGCAGAGTCCAGATCGTCAGCAGCTGGATTTCTCACCTCTGGTACATCTGTTGTCCTATTTGTCAGGGTCTCCTCATGCATGTCCCTCCTGTGTCTGTCTTCAGGGCTCACAAGAACACTCGGGGGCTCCTGTCCCCACTTTCCATGCCTGTGCCTGCTTCCCTTTCTGGCCTATGGATCTCATGATGCCTATGGGTGTCCCCCCAACCTCCATCATTAGCGTTGTGATCTCTATGGGAGTGTCCGTGTCCCGGGGCACCCAAGGCCAACCAACCAGCAAAACAGCCACAGCCTGGTTGTTGGGGTGGAGCTGAGGGCCAGCTATCCTCTGTGTAGGGGCCCGTTGGAGCAGTAGCTTAAGTGCTGCTGCCAACCCTGGGAAGCATCACACACTTCTGATGGAGAATCAGTCCTGCTCCCATGGCCGAGTCTGGATGGACTAACTCCCAAGGGGCCAATCCAGCCTGTGTCTATCGGATCGATAGGCAGGCATATCCTGAGCATAGCGGATCTGCTGACCCAGGCCGGGCCTGCTCCCTCCTGCTCTCCTCATCAACAGCAGATCATCCGGACACCGCTAGTCTCAGCCCCTTGGGGACAAGCAATGCTGACCTGGCCCTGAAGCCATACCAGGGCGCCATCCTGACACAGAGGCCATACCAGGACGCCATCCTGACACAGAGGCCATACCAGGGCGCCATCCTGACACAGAGGCCATACCAGGGCGCCATCCTGACACAGAGGCCAGACTGTCAGCTGGTGGCATCTAGGTATCTACTATCTCCTCGGGGATCCCAGATCCATGGGGTGGGCTTATGCAGACTGTGGGGGGCTCTGTAGTAACAACACGGTCCCCGTGTTCTTCACTGTCAGCGAATGGTGGTAAAGACAGCTAGAACTGGCAGAATTCTCACACACGGCCTAGGGCACTGACTTGACCTCGGAAGGCTTTGCCCATCGGGTATCGTGGCCAGGATGGCTTCCCAGGTTGCAGGACTGGTTCCTGGGCCAGGAAACTAACTGTCCAAGAGTCTTGGTGAGACAGTTCCAATGGACATGTCCACCTCCTGCTTCAGCACGTCCGGCCTCTATTTACTTACCAGCAATGGCCGGGGCAAACCAAACACATACCAGGACAGTGTGGATTCGGAGGTATCCTCTGTGTTTTATCACACTCGTGATCTGCTGGTGCACTCGACCCAAGTGAAGTCTTTGCTCATCATGGAGGAGCTGGGCCCCAGTGGTTCCCTTGGCGAGCACTCCATGCTGACGGACCAGGAAGCAACAGGGGCCACACATGGACAAGGCCAGCATCTGCTACTGGGTGCTCAGGCACCAGGACAGAATAACCCAAAGTGGGAAGGAAGAGGCTTGTGACGAAAACTTAGGTATCCCCCAGGCTGCCTGAAGAGACTTTTAGGAGCACTGTGTGGGTAGGTGGGAGGGGAGAGTGTTAGGTAGCCAGTTCACCTGACACAGAGGAGGACCTATGGACAAAACGTCACCTGGCCACCGTGAGGGAGTGGTTAGAGGGACAGAGGGAGGTACCTGGGATGCTGATCTACTTCACAGGTCCAGGGCTAGACTTGGGCTTCTGTTGTAGCACCCAGAGAGGCTCAGAGACCTGCCAAGATCACACAGCATGTGGGGTCCAACCAGGTCAGATCCTTACCTCCTAGAAGGTTCAGGCAGTTGACTGCATCTGCCCGAGGGCAGGCCCCTCTTTGCCACCTGTCCTGCAGATGTCCCCAGCAGGATCTGGGACTCTGTCTCCTGCCTTGTGGAGGCTGTCGGTTGCCTCCTGAGTTCCTCATCTCATGACTGGCTTGGCCAGGGCCTGGGACTCGCCTGTTCTTGGAACCTAGTTTTACGAGTATTCTTAAAGAGGAGGCTGAATCAATTACCCCAGAGGAAGACCGTTCCTGTGACCAGGACAAGGCACACATCTCAGAAGAGTCTCCCAGCTGATCACTAGTGAGTGAGCGGCCCTTTAAACCCTCTGGGCTGGCAGTGACCATCGCGGCCTCACTGGCAGCTTGTCCTCTGCCTCTGCCAGGTCAGCAACCTTGGCCCAGAGTACAGGGGGCCTGGGATTCACAGACTCGAGGCAGGGAGGACAAACGACTCCTTTAACTCAGCCTTGATCCCTGACACGTCAGCACCCCTGTTATCTGTTGGCACCTCCCAGTGATCCCAGTGCAGCATGTAGGTGGGTGACAACAGTGCCCCAGTGGTCATGCTGGCCTGGCCTGTGCCCACCCACCTGATGGCATTTCCAAGTCTTCCTACAGACCAAAGGCAAGTGTAGACCACAACGACCGAATCCCACACTGCCACTGCCCTTCTCACAGGTGAGTTGTCCCCTGTGCCTAGCACTGCTTCATTCCCCTGCAAGTGGCTCTGTGGATGACAATGGCATGTCCTCTTAGCCCTGTTCTGCCCACAGACTCCTGAGTCAGGCCTGGGGTGGTTGTGTGCTATGGAACCACACTCAGCTTTCACAGAAGGCTCCCAGGAAGTGCCTGGCTTGTTACTCCTCTACAGTCCCGTCGGGGAGCAGTTGCCTAGGCCCAGAAACCTCCATCACTGCCTCATCAACTTCTGGAGCCCTTGGCTGGGCTGCCTGGTCCCACCCAAGCCCAGGAGGTACGATCAAACAACTACCCCATATTCTGCCTGTACAGGCTGGAGCTGGACCTCCACAGCCTATTAGAAAATACTCCAAAGTTCCCTCCCAGACATTTTCAGCCAAAGTCAGTGGCATTAAGCATAGGGCTGCTGGAGCAGTTGCCCCTGCCACCCCCAACTTTCCATCTGGTTCTCTGACCCGCTGATGGCACCTCCCTGACTGGGCACCTCCTCTTGTATGTCCTCTAGAGCCTCCTGTCAGTGGGACCCCTCCCCACACCGAGTTTCCCCAGGGTGGCCCTCCCCAGTGTGTGTCCCTGAGGCTCTGAGGATAGGTATCTCTCAGCACGGCAGTACAGAGGGGCCCTCATCTAGGACAGGAGCCAAGAGAGGCCAAAATGAGGCTGGAGAGCAGAGGCTCTGGAGGAAGCATGGGGGAGGGGAGGACATCAGGGTTGTGTCCAGCATAGATTGATGTCTCTGGCGGCCGGCGGCCCAGAATGTTTTTAATGGTCCCTAAAGCACTGGGTCAGCCAGCGCTGAGCTCAGCAGCTGCTTTGGCCAGTCAGGAGGGCATGGGCCACTGGGAGCCCATCTCAGACCTCAGCCCCCACCCAATTGCCCCCTCCATGCTGAGGATCCTGAAGCTGCCCCCCAAGAACTCAGGGAAAGGGACACAGCCCTGTCCTGTGCTTCCCCTAAACTCATATGATGACCCCTATGTGGAAATACCCCACCCTTGGAGCCTTTCCGGGTGCAAGGATGGGGAGGAAGCCTCCCCTCAACCCCACCCCATTTGTCACAGGCCCATTATGTGCTGACAGCTGCTTCCCACCTACCCTTGTTAGGGCAGCCAAGGGCCCCTGGAGCCCATCCATCATGCGGCCTCCACCTTGCTCTAGCTGGGGAGCTTTCCCACAGAGGAGGCCAGGATGGGGAGCACCTAGAGGGGGTGGCTCCTCATACTGAGTCAGGGACAGTAGCTAAGGCTTCCAGTCCCTACCACCATCCCCACCTGGAAGAAGACCAAAACTTACGGGCACCTCTGCTTGTGTCACCAGTAGCTTATCTAACGAGTGGGCCTCCCGCACCTCACAGCCTATCCAGGGAGCTCAGGGCCTCAGTTTACCCAAGGCCTAGACACAGGACATGAGAGACCAGCTGAGTACTGCTGACTATAGATGCCAGAAGATGAAGCAAGTGGGCCAGCTGCTCTTCTGCTTCCCTTGGGATGTCCTCTGAACCCTTGGCTTGCTGCACAGATTCTGGGGGCTTCCAAGAGCTTTCTCTGAGCCTTCAGGAATAGCTGATGGCCCCTTCACTCTTCTGGGAGATGTTGGACAGATCTGAATGCAGGGTGTTGCCTGGCCTGACTCAACGGCTGTCCAAGGTTCAAGCCTGCACCTAGGCTGTGATTGTTCATAGACGCTGCCCCAACCAGGTCCCTGAGATCCCAGAGGCCACAGAGGACAGAGCAGTGCCCCTGGGCCACAGTCAGTACCACCACAAGCAAGCAGCTCCTCCAGTCTCGTCTTAGTCACTTTCCTATTGCTGTGACAAAACACCATGACCAAGGCAACTTAGGAAGTGTTTAATTTGGGGACTATGGTTTCAGAGGGTTAGAGGTAGAACACAGGCCTGGCAGCAGCAACAGCTGAGTGGCCACATCTTGATCCACAAGTTGGAGGCAGAGAAAGAAACACTGGGAATGGTGGGAGTCTTATGAAACCTCAAAGCCTGTCCCAGTGACACACCTCCTCCAACAAGCCACACCTTTTAATCCTTCCCAAACAGTCCCACCAACTAGGGAACAGATATTTGAATATGTGAGCCTGTAGGGCTGTTCTCATTCAAACCACCACAAGCCTTCTTCCTGGAGGACACAGAGGCCATAGAGCTACCTGAGGGTGGTGACAACCACATTTATTGAGCATGCCAGCACTCTTTATGGATCTGTGGGTCCTACTTCAGAAAGTGAGGGTGACCAGTACAGGCTGGATCAGCCCACACTTCACACTAGGGTCTCCAGAAAGCATAGAGGCACACAAAGACGTCTGTCTGTCTGTCTGTCTGTCTGTCTGTCTGTCTGTCTATGGTGCTTTGGTGTCTTTTGCCTACATCTGTGTGAGGGCGCCAGGTCCCCTGGAACTAGAGTTACAGAGAGTTGTGAGCTGCCACGTGTGTTCTGGGAATTGAACCTGGGTTGTCTGGAAGAGTAGAGAGTGCTCCCAATCTCTGAGCCATCTCTCCAACCCCAAGACATGTGTTTTACATGTGAACCCTTTGTCCACTTAACATATATCTCAAGTGGCACTGGGGGTGAGGGAAGTGGGGGACACTCCCAGGATGGGGTGGTTCTGCTGTTTCCCCGTGTGCTTCTAATAGCTGCAGCAGGGAGCCAACGCCGGCCTCAGAGCGCACTGGTGAAGGAGAAGCAGACCCTGCCTTCTCACAGGGTGGGCTAGGAGGTGGGGGGGCTCCTGGAGATGCCTCCTTCCATATTTCAGCTTCCCACTCTCCCAGCCCCACCCCCACAGCCTGGATTAATTTGGGAAGGACAATGTTTATATTAACTGTTCATTTATTGACGTCTGCTTGCTGGGTCAATGGCCAAATTTATTGTCTCACAAGATGGGCCATATCGAGCCAAGCAGCCTCCTCGCTCCCCACAACAGGCGAGGGGAGGGCAGACACTGTCGTTACGAAGACCGCTGACCTTGGGCCTGCTAGTCTCTGGTGGGAACTAGGGAAAGAGAGAAGGAAGCTGGCACAGGTCACCCCCGCGCGCACACACTCACACACACACACACACACACACACACACACGCACCACACACACACACACACATACACACACACACACACGCACGCACCACACACCCACACATACACACACATACACACACACCACACACACACAGCACCCCCACCGTGGAACCCTTAAGGCTCAAGAGTCACTGCCTCAGGCAGAGGGCAGAAGACAGAGAAGTTGAGTCGGTAGTCAGTGTCCGTACACTCACAGGGTACCTGCCATGCCTAGCCCAGGCTGCCAACATGAAGGGGAAGGCGGTCACCGGATGACCAGATTGTCCAGAAGCCAATGTGGATACGTAGTGTACCAGAGGAGCTGCCAGGGGTCCAGAGCCCAGGAGCATCTGAGGTAGGGAGGGATGAGGGAGCCAGGGAGTCTCCTCACCCTTTAGCTGTGCCAGCCTGTTCCAGGCGGAGGCCTGAGGAGGGTGAAGGAGGCCTCTGATCTCTGCCCCTCCAGACTAGCCATACGGCTCTGCCACATCAGGGGAGGAAGAGGTAGTGAGGCGGGCAGAATTCCCTCACCCCAGGGCTTGCCTGCCTGTGTTCCTGGGGCCCAAGCGGGCCCCTGTGCCTACACTACCAAAATTCCTCTATACTGCCTCCAAGGTGTCCTCTGGGAAGGACCCAACCCCGAACTCTGGCCTCCACAGATGGTTCAGGGCACCCCTCGGGTGAGCAGCCAGGACCTGTTTCAGCAACCTGAAGGCCTGACCTGACCCCAAGCTCGGATCTGTGACCACCAGGCTCTCCTGCCCCTCCTCTCACCTCCTGGTTATTTCGTGAGTTCATTCAACAATGGACACTTCCTGAGTACCTATTTGGAACCGGTTTCTGAGGAACAGCCATCAGCCAGCAAAGGGCTTCCTTCTGCATCAGCCAGAGGCTGGGGTGCAGGCTGGGTGGGGGCGAGATGGTCTTAAGCAGAGAAGACACAGTGGAGGGTGTCTGCCTAGGGACCTACACGTGTAGACGTCCTCGGGCAGGCACTGTGGGCAGCAGAATGATCTGGAACACAAGGGAGACAGGCATGGGGCAGCCAGGGGTCTATGGGACTTTGTGGGACTTACCAGCACTACAGAACAGCGGGGGGCAGGGCTGTTCTGTGCAGGCTGGGAATGGTATGTTCTGTGTCTTCTGTTTGTGGTGCTCCTTGTTTGTTTGTTTGTTTGTTTGTTTGTTTTTGAGACAAGGTCTCACCTCGTAGCCCTGGCTGGCCAAGAACTAGCTATAGAGACCGGGCTGGTCTTGAACTCACAAAGACCCCCATGTCTCTGCCTCCCAGCTATTGGAATTAAGGTGTGCGGCACCACCTCATTTTGGTGTCTTATGGAGCAGGGCTGTTTGGGGCGTGAAAGGAGAAGGTCGGAGGCCACGCAGGGTGGACGCCTGCTACGTCTCCTACAGGCTGCCCACCAAGAACCCCCCCCCCCCCACCTCCTGCTCTGCCCACAGCCTTCTAGGCTGTTTTTCACCCCGAGGCCACCAGAAGGCGCATGGAGCCCAGGCAGGTAACAAGGCTCTGTGGAGGCCAGGGGCTAGCCAAAGGGCTCATTTGTCAGCAAGCAGTTCATCGATGGCTTGAGAGCGGCAGCAGTGTTGATTGAGATGCCACACTTGAGTTAGAATCTCCACGAATGGTGATGAGCAATTGATCAGCTCATCAGGGGAGCTGGCCCTGGGAATGGAGAGGGGAAGGGAGAGGGAGGGGGAGGGGAGAGGGGAGGGGAGGGAGGCAAAGCAGGACAGAAGGGAGGGGCGGGGCAGGAGGCAGGTACAAACCCAGCTCCACCCCCCTCCTCAGGTCTTACCCAGGACCTGCTTCTCCATCTGCGACCCTGTGTCCCCCCCAACAGAGATGGGAGCCATGCCAGACCCAGATGCCTCCTTGCAGTTTCCCTTTATACATGTAATTAATCACTTTATTTCCTTGAGCTGTTTTAGGTTGTAGACAAATGAGGGAGGATTTCTAAGTCCCCTCGGGCTCCCCTGTCAGCAGCAGCCTGCATTGCTGTGATTGAGTGGTTACCACTTGCAGCCCTGGGGTGACAGGTCACTGAGCCACACCCATCTCAGCCTCTGTCTCTGTGACTCCCCAGGACCAGGCTGCGTGGCAGCATGGCTAATCTGCTCAGTGTGGCTGGACTCTTGCTGCCTGTGCCTTTTGCGAAAGAACTGTCCAGGTTTGCAGGGTGCATCTTCCCAGTGCCTGGATGGGCTGCAGTTCATTCATGCATCACTTGCTACAAAGAACCCTCTGTGTGAGTTTGCTGGGGGTCACCCCACTGCCGGCAAAAGCCAGAGTGCACCACTGCCAAGCCCGGCACCTCCCTCTATAGGAAACCATTTCTCTGTCTTTGGCCCAGCCCAGGCCACACCTACCCTGGCCTTCCTCCAAGTGCAGACTATGGAGAACCCAGCAGAGTAACTGGAGGCAGATGGGAACAGTGCTCTGGACCGCAGAGAGGTATTTGAGAGGTCTTGGGATATCTTCTGGAGTTAAGTTCACCTTTAGTATTGATCTTCTATTTTATTCATAATTCAGCAGAGTGGCCTAACACACAGCTCAGTACTCCGTTCCCCTTGACCCACTAAGGAGGCTAGGTGGTTTGGGGTACCCCCTAGACCCCCCAGAAGCCCTGGAGGGTGTCAGTGAATAGGACATGGTAGGGGTACAGTTTGGAAATTTCCAGAGGGGACAACATGGATCATAGCCACCCAGCCAGGGATCTGCTTACTGCAGCTCTGGACTCTGCCTGCCGTGGGTTCCCAAAGGGCCACTGCAGGTGCCGTGTTCCTCTCTGCCATCTGTGTCAGCCTGGTCCCTGTCATCATTCCCAAACCCGGTGACCCCTGCTGTCAACTGGGAGTTAGGATTCCCCATCTTATAGAAGTCCACACCATCCTCCCGAGCAAGATGCCTACTCTTTCCCATCCTGCCCATCGATCCTGACACACCTAACAGATACTGAGTCAGCATGAAGCAGGCAACAGCATTGCAAGAGAGTTTGTCAGACGCCAGTCTCAGACTTCCCATGGGCCCCTAGACTCCCTGGATGGAGCAAGTAAGGTGCCTAGGGTCGTTTCTGTGCTCAGGGCCTGCTTGTGGGTGCCTTTGAAGTCTGTCACAAGATGTGTCCCAGGCTCCCCCTGGTCCCTGACATCCTCCTGGAGAGACTGGAAGATCTGGGTGAAAAGACTCCCTGGGCCTTCCCTACCCTGAGACCCTGGGGCTCTCCTTCATACACAAAATGCCCTGTGGGTTCAATGGATAAACTGTCTAGTGTGTTTCATCACTGTGAGGAAATACATTGAGAGGTAGGCAGAGTTAGTTTCCCTGTTTAATAAAGCACATGGGGCCTGGTATAGTGGGACCGGGAGTAATAGTACTTTTACTCCCAGCACTCAGAGGAGACAGATTTCTGTGAGTTCAAGGCTAGCCTGGTCTACATAGCAAGTTCCATGAGAGCCAGGGCTACATACAGAGACCCCATCTCAAAAAAAAAGAAAAAGAAAAAGAAAAAAGGGCATGGCCTCAAAGCCACCCCAGGCACTGCCCTGCCTGCTACAGTCCCTCTGCAGTCAAAAGCCATCTCTGCTTCCTGTCACAGTGCTCCTGACTCGTGGTTCCCAACTGGGCTCTTTGCCCTGGCCTCAGGGCTCCTTAGGCTCCAATTCTTATAGGCAGGACTGTGTGAGAAGTCTCTGTGGTAGTCCAGGGCAGCATGCTGTCTGCCTCCAGGTTCTCCTGCAACCTGACCCAACAGCTTCGCCCCTCCCCCACCACAGGGGCTGCAGTCCCCACAACATCCTCCACTCACTGACGTTGCCGCCGCCACTGGTGCCCTGCAAAGCACACCTCTGGGAGGGGTCCCCACTCAGCCCCCAGCCCGTTGCAGTGAGCCCCAGGGTCGGGGAGAGCTGCCCCAGAAGCCTCTGCCCTCTGTGTGGAGGGACCTGGTGGGCAGGAGGAGCAGCTTCGGAGACTCAAGCTCTCCCGGTCACAGCCCTGCTCTCCCTGCTGTGTGCAGCTACCCTGACTCAGCCCCTGACCTGCAGGCCCTCTCTCTGCTGTAGCACCTCTTCCCTGAGGTGTAGCCGGGAAGCCACATCAATAGTCAGAGTCAACCCTCCTTGGGCCCTAGAGCCACCAACTCAAGGGCAACACTGTTCTGGGACTCCCATCCTTTTTCCCATGGTTCCCTTCCACAGCCGTGTAACGGCTTCCTGTGCCGCATCCAGTGCTCTGAGCCCAGGCCTAACCGAGGCTCTCTGTTTGTTCTGCAAGAAAATGAGATTTGCCCCTCTGGCTGGGGTGGGGAGTCCAGCACCCGGGATTTTTGGGGGAGATGGCCACCACTGCCTGCACATTTGGTCAAGTCTGAGTACTGAGCCCTACCCGGAGTGAGGGGTTCTCTCACGTTGTCCCGCTGTCCCAGTGATGCTCCTCAGGGACCTCCTGTGCAGGGCTCCCTGCTGAGCCAAACCCAATCTTCAGGAAGCTTCTGCCTGGATTATGCAGAGCCCGCCCTGTACTGTGCCAGCTAGGCTGTGCTCTCAACTTGCTGTAGACCAGAACACTTCTGCAGGATGTCCAATGAGGGAACTCTGGCACCAGGACCTTCGGAGAAGGGGCTGTTTCTCACTTTTTGTTTGCCAACCACACACACACACACACACACACACACACACACACACACACACACACTCAGCGTTTCTCTGTTGCAGCCCTGGCTGTCTTGGAACTCACTCTGTAGACCAGTGTTTCTCACTTTCTAACAAGAGGTGAAGTCGTGGCTCCTGGGTTAGCTGTTCAAAGCTCGGACCAGAAAGGGCTCCTGTGAGACAGGAACTTGGCCCTCAACCCTCTGCTCCCCTCCCCCCCAATCTCCTGGGACCGGACCTCTACTCCATCCCCTCACCGTACTAGTGTCCCAGGCATGTGTCACAAGCTCAGCTGCAGCCAGGTAGGTGGGCTGTGGAGCGGGGTGGGGGACGGCCCCAGTGGCAAGGGGCTCTGTGAGCACAATGATGCACATCCGCGAACGTCCTGTCCTGTCCCTGGCTCTGTACTTCATTCGGCACGCAGGCCCGAGCGCCTGCGCAAGGGCTGTCTTCCAAAGGCGCACAGCTGCTTGCAGACAGCTGTGCGATCCGCGGTTCCCACCTCATCCCACTTGCCCGGGTTGGGACAGCCCGGGGCACCGGTGGTGGCAGTTCGGCGTGTCACCTCCCCTGCCACCCGCCCGGCGCAGCGGGCACGCAGCCCCTCCAGATGCTCAGATCCCAGGGCCCCTGCGCTTCCTCGGGCGGCGCCATCTGACGCCCCTCTCTGCTACGCCCGGACCCCCTCGAACGCTGCCATCTGTCGCAGGTGGAACCGCGCCAGGCCACGAGCTGGGCCAGGTCGGCGCACCCGCCCTGTCCCCGAGCCCAGCCTGGAATAGGGGTTCCTTCTTCCTCAAGGTGCTGCCTCTGGGGAGAGGGCAAGGGAGCAGCGAGTGCGCGGGTCCCGCCTTCCGAAACGAGACCGTTCTCCCGGGGCCTCCCACTCTTCTGGGACTGAGCCATCGCCGGCTGCTGAAATGCGGTCCTAGCACTGGTCTGCCCCAGGCCAGCTGACCCCCGCAGGGTGTGAGAGCTCCCTAATCCCCACCGCTTAGCTGCTCCTCCCGCGTCCTGGAGCCCAAGCTGCCCCTCCCAGAGGCCAGCTGAGGGCATTCTCCAGGCTCATTCCTCTCCCGCTCCCCCAGGACTCCCCACTCCCTCCCTGCCCCCTGCCCCAGCTGCCGCGGTCTTACTCGGCTCTAGGTAGGATCACGCGGCGCTTCTCCCAGCAACTCCCAACACGCTTGTCATTACCGTCTCAGAGTGCGTACGGGCAGCCTATGTGGAGCCCAGAAAAGAGGTGTGGACGGTCAGGACCCTAGCGAGCCCACGACGGGCAGGGATAGATCCCAGGGCTTGTGGGTTGCACGAAAATGGAGGAAAGGCTCTGCGCCAACCCTAACCCTGACTCCTCCCCAATCACCAGCCTTCCCGTCCTTCAGTCCCTGCAGGCATTCCTGGAGCCTGTTAGGGAAGAGTTGCTTAAAGAACCGCGTCCAAACCCGGTGGTGGTGGCGCAGGCCTTTAATCCCAGCACTCGGAAGGCAGAGGCAGGTGGATCTCCGTGAGTTCGAGGCCAGGCTGGTTCACAGAGTGAGTTCCAGGACAGGCTCTAAAGCCACACAGAGAAGGCCTGTCTCGGGGAAAAAACAAAAAACCATATCCAAGTTGTACCTGCCAGCCACCGTGTCTGGGTCACTCCTGGATCTGTGGCTACCTGTGGGAGCTCGGAGGGGCGCAAGTGGACAAGAGGACCTGGTGACCAGAGGGGACATGTTCTGAGACGAGGAAGCAAGAAGACAAGGGCTGGGGTGGGTGGGGTCCTGGGGGTGGGAGTGGGTTCACAGGGGATGGCAGACATTGAGCTGGCACCAAGGCTTTTCTGGGGTCTTCAAGAGCAAAGCCACCAGGCAGGGGGTGCTCAATGCCAAGGTTGCCCTTCACCCTTCTCCAGTCTCAATAAAGATGATAATTAGTATCCTGACCACTCAATTACTTAGGCGTCATGAGCTTAATTATGACAGAGGGGGCAGTGTCATCAGCCTCCTCCAGGAGCTGAGGGTTATTGACCAGAACAGGCACAGGAGGAGTGCTGTCATCACAGCCCATAGGGCTGGCAGGGCCGTAGAGGAGGCAGGCAGCAGTGTGTGTGTGTGTGTGTGTGTGAGAGAGAGTGTGTGTGAGAGAGAGTGAGTGTGTGTGTGAGAGAGAGAGTGTGTGAGAGTGTGTGAGTGTGTGTGTGAGAGAGAGAGTGTGTGAGAGTGTGTGAGTGTGTGTGTGTGTGAGAGAGAGTGTGTGTGAGAGAGAGAGTGTGAGAGTGTGTGAGTGTGTGTGTGTGAGAGAGAGAGTGTGTGAGAGTGTGTGAGTGTGTGTGTGTGTGTGAGAGAGTGTGTGTGAGAGAGAGTGTGTGAGAGTGAGTGTGTGTGTGTGTGAGAGAGAGAGTGTGTGTGAGAGAGAGTGAGTGTGTGTGAGAGAGAGAGTGTGTGTGAGAGTGTGTGAGTGTGTGTGTGAGAGAGAGAGTGTGTGAGAGTGAGTGTGTGTGTGTGTGAGAGAGAGTGTGTGTGAGAGAGTGTGTGTGAGAGTGTGTGTGTGAGAGAGAGTGTGTGTGAGAGTGTGTGAGTGTGTGAGTGTGTGAGTGAGAGAGAGTGAGTGTGTGAGAGTGTGAGTGTGTGTGAGAGTGTGTGAGTGTGTGTGAGAGAGTGTGTGTGAGAGAGAGTGTGTGAGAGAGAGAGTGAGTGTGTGTGAGAGTGTGAGTATGTGTGATAATGTGTGAGTGTGTGTGAGAGTGTGTGTGAGAGTGTGTGTGTGAGAGTGTGTGTGTGTGAGTGTGTGAGAGTGCGAGTGTGTGTGTGAGAGTGTGTGAGTGAGTGTGAGAGAGTGTGTGAGAGAGAGTGAGTGTCTGAGAGTGTGAGAGTGTGTGAGAGAGTGTGTGAGTGTGTGAGTGAATGTGTGAGTGTGTGAGTGTGTGAGTGTGTGTGAGAGAGTGAGTGTGTGAGAGTGTGTGAGTGTGTGAGAGTGTGAGAGTGTGTGAGAGAGTGTGTGAGTGTGTGTGAGTGTGTGTGAGTGTGTGAGTGTGTGTGAGAGAGTGTGTGAGTGTGAGTGTATGAGTGTGTGAGATTGTGTGAGTGAGTGTGAGTGTGTGAGAGTGTGAGTGTGTGAGTGTGTACGGTGTGCACAAGCTTGTGCACTCCCCCCAAGTCCCTACCTAATGCGCCAACCTCTTCTGCCTAAGGAAGCCCCCCAAATCTGAGGACCGCCCACTAGAGCCCACTCTCAAAGGCCCTATCATCCATCACCTAGTTTTGATGAGGACCAAACTTCCAGCACATGAGCCCTCACAGGGGACAGTCACACTTCGCCATGGGGCTGGTGTTGATTGAACTCAAGGCCTTACACAAGTCCTGATGATGGTGATGGTGGAAACGGTGGTAATGACGGCGGCAGTGGTGGAAGTAAAGGAGACGATGGCGGTGACAGTGGCGGTGGTGTGGCCACAGACGTGGTGTGGTGGTGGCTGTGATGGTTTCAATGGTGGTATGGTGACAGCAGTAGCGTGGTGGTCCGGTGGTGGTGGTGGTGTTACGGTGACAGCAGTGACGGCTGTGGTGTTGTTATGGTGATGGCTGTGGTGTTGTTATGGTGACAGCAGTGATGGCTGTGACAGCTGTAGTGCTGTGGTGTTACGGTGACAGCAGTGACGGCTGTGGTGTTGTTATGGTGATGGCTGTGGTGTTGTTATGGTGATGGCAGTGATGGCTGTGACAGCTGTAGTGCTGTGGTGTTACGGTGACAGCAGTGACGGCTGTGGTGTTGTTATGGTGATGGCTGTGGTGTTGTTATGGTGATGGCAGTGATGGCTGTGACAGCTGTAGTGCTGTGGTGTTATGGTGACGGCAGTGACTGCTGTGGTGCTGTGTGGTGCTGACGGACAGGATGAAATGCAGTACAGAGTGAGGGCTTTGGGAACTATGCAGTCGAGGCCGAGAATGATGCTTTTGCAGCCCGCCACATCCTGCAGGATCTGCCTAGGAACATCCTCAGGACTCTAGCAGTCTGTCTTGAACATAGGCTTAGGGTGTCAAGGCCTCCCCGTGTCCAAAGAGAAGGCAGGGCCCCAGTGTTCTTGGAGGATGTTTGGAAGTCAGGGGTCCTGGTCGGAGGCTGAATGCCTTCTGGGTTCTTGTGCCTTTCCAGACCTTCCTGAGCCCCCACCCAGCCCATCCTTGGCTGGAAAACCTCCAGGCTGGACTCTGGCTGACCTTGGAGGTCCGCGTGAGCTAGCATGTTGGCACATGGGAGGTCCCAGTCGTTGGTGGCCTGTCAGTGATGAGACCTGAAAAGACCAACATAGGCCTCAAAGAAAGCAGCGGCACCAGGGAAGAGACTGGAGACTCGGCGGAGGGCAGAAACCAGCCTCAAAGCACAGTGAGGGGCAAGGAGACAGGAGCAGCTTCCTTACAGGAGGCCTGAGAGGAAGTCCTCTGGTGTCTACCTCACGTGACTCCTGCTGTGCCTGCAAGCCACCTGAACTTCCTCCCCAAAGGCAAGCTGAGGCAGTGGACAGGTGTCAGGACTCTTGGTAGCTGGACTAGTGCAGGCATGGGTTCCTGCAAACAGGCTGGCCAGGGCACATCCTACAAAGCCAGGAGGCCCCTGGTACCATCTATGAAGATGATCCCTTTGCCATCCCCAACCCTCAGGGAAAAGAAAACCACAGCAGGAAGCACACCTCTCTTCCAGGCATATAGTTCCAGCCCAGCTCAGGGGAGAAGCTGACAGCCTGGAACCTCAGCAAAGCCCAGGGGCCAGGGTGGTGGCAGGCCTCGGGCAGGGCGCTCCAGGGCAGGCGTGTGGAGGCCTCTAGACCTCCCTTGCCCGTGGTGGGTGCTCAGAGTCACATACAATTACTCGCTCAGTGTATCATAATTACCACAAATAGCCCATTAAAAGAAATTATCATCAAGATGGTATTAGCAGACTGCAGGGGAAATGAAGAAAGAAAAGTGCTTATTCCCTATTGTCCCTTAATGGGGACAGGGGATGGCCAGTTTGGCAGCAACCAGGGTTGGCTGCCTGAACTCCACAGCCCACTAGGCTACCCCAGAGTGGCAGGGAGGGCGGCTTGCCTCAGGCCTATTACAGGCCTCTGCTGGGTCCCATTCCTCAGCTCCACTCCATGAGCCTCCAAAGCCCTCAGGAAACTCTGCCCTAGGCTCCTAGAAAAACACCCAGAGGCCCTGCAAATCCCAAGAACTTAGACATCCTTTATACATGGTAGCCTGAGCTCAGATCCTAGGGTCCCAAAATGCCACCAGAAAAGGTAGACTCTGGAGAAAGGGGTAGCATATGGGGAAGAAGGATAAGCTGGAAAGCGGCAGAGTCTTGAGGACCACATGGGGGGACAGCGAACTCAGGGCCCCTGGACAGAATGCCAAGGCTCTGTCTGGTGGCCCTCTGTGGCTTGAGCCACCCAGACCCCCTCCCTCTGGCTCCTGGAGACCCCTAGGACCAGGTTTACTAAGGACAGGCAGGAGGCCATCACTGAAAACAAGGGACTCAGGGACATCTCAGACTCAACCCCTCTTCCTCTCACCAAGGACATCAGGGGTCTGTCACCCAGGAAGAGGGGTGGACTAGCCTCCCCTGAGAGATTCCCACAGCCAGGGGGAAAGATCAACCACCTGCAATAATGATTTCCAAGAAGCTTCCAGCCCACAGTCTGGGGAGGCCCTGCCCCAACCAAACCTGTCCCCTACGTACAGGAGCTGTACACAACGCTGTGCCTTCCTTGAAACTAATCCAATTAACCATTAGCAGACCACAGGCAGGTGAAAAAATGTCCACTATGTGGGGCTGGAAAAATGGCTCAGCAGTGGAGTGTACACACACTGCCGTTTCAGACGGCCTGAGTTTGGTTTCCAGAGCCTGTGCTAATACAGCTTCCACAACTGTCAGGACTCCAGCTTCAGAGGGTGTCCAGGACGCCTGCCTTCATGTGCGCGTACCCCCACACAGACATGCATGAGCATAATTTGAAGAGTATTAAATAAAAAATAAAAATGGCGGGGCGTTGGTGGCGCACGCCTTTAATCCCAGCACTTGGCAGGCGGAGGCAGGAGGATCTCTGAGTTTGAGGCCAACCTGGTCTACAGAGTGAGTTCCAGGACAGCCCGAGATATTACACAGAGAAACCCTGCGTTGAAAAACCAAAAAAAAAAAAAAAAAGGTAAAAATGTTTGCTATATGGAGCAGAGCAAATAGACAGAGAAATGGAGCCGAAGGGACCAGAACATGAGGGCACTACGAGCTCTGAGACCCAGGCCTTGAGGATACCTGGAGAGATGCAAGGGTCTTCAGTTCTCATACGCAACCCCAGGAGTCAGCAGCACTGG